TTTTATTTCTATTTACATTCAATTTCTATTCATCACAATACTTTTTAACTTTAACCTTTAATAGTACTTGAAAATAGTCGTGATGAAACGCTATTACCCTAATCTGACCAGTTGAATCACATCTTACGAGAAGGTGTTGGTTGCTGATAAACAACTGTGACCCGGGTCCCTACGGGGATAATCTATATTATGTTGATGACACCCATTGCTATTGCTTCGTGCACATTTTATCTCATCTCTCTCACTACACCACAGTCAAGATGATATTTAGGATTATGCAGTCAGCGACTTATCTCTAATAGATGAGTCTCATAAAGTAGATACAAGGGTATCACATTATGCCTCATGTTTCAATACACAATATACCATACTGATGTCGTTATATCACACTGTGCCTCATGTTTCAATACACAATATACTATACTGATGTCGCTATATCACACCGTGCCTCATGTTTCAATACACAATATACCATACTGATGTCCTATATCACAACGTGCCTCATGTTTCAATACACAATATACCATACTGATGTCGCTATATCACACAGTGCCTCATGTTTCAATACACAATACACCATACTGATGTCGTTATATCACACCGTTCCTCATGTTTCCACACACAATATACTTTGTTAATCCACGTTATTGTGTCACACTATGCTTCATTTTTCAATGTACGTTATACAATATTGATGACTACTATATGACATATTGCCTCATAATTCAATGTACATTGTACAATATTGATGAATACTATATGACATATTGCATCATAATTCAATGTACATTATACAATATTGATGACTACTATATGACATATTACCTCATAATTCAATGTACATTATACAATATTGATATCTAACTTTATCATACTGAACCTCATATCGTAATGTACACTATACAATACTGATATCGGCTATATCACATTATGCCTCATTCTCAGTATATGACCATCACTACTGATGTCGGCTATTTTGTACTGTCACCCGTGAAGATCCGGGGTAGAATAGGTCTTCAGCAACCCATGCTTGTCGTAAAAGGCGATTGCGCTTGTCATAAGAGACGACTAACGGGATCGGGTGGCCAGGCTCGCTGACTTGGTTGATGCATGTCATCGTATCTCAATTGCGTAGATCGATGCTCGCGATATCCGTCACTGTATTTACGTAGGTCCCTTTATCTTGACACAACTGTGTTTGACTGTACATCAATGTACAGTACACAATAATGGTGTCTGCTGTATTTTACGCCATGTCTCTTACCTCAATGTAAAATATACTATATTCATGTCTGCCATTTTACTCTATACCTCATTATTCAACATGTGGTATACCATTCTGATCTCTGCGACATAAAGCTGTGCCTGATAATTCAATGTGAAATATACCCCTAGTAATGTTTTCCACAGCACATTGTGCCCTAGCATTTTGTGTTCAATATACGAAACGCATGTCTTTTTTGTCAAGATTCAATGTACCCTTCAAGGTCATGCATGCCCCCATTCCCTTCTGGCGCGCCCTTGTTGCGCTTCCACTTTCAACTGTAAGAACGCCCTCCCCTGGACCTGAGTCCTTCGAGGCGTCTGTGTGAGGTGGACACAAGCTTAGCTTTCTCCATACATGTATGGACTGCTGGACACAAGTATATATCTGTAGAGACCAACCCTTCTTACCTCGGGTGAAATACTTATTACAGAGAAGGTCCAAGTGATGGTCTTAGGGCATGATGCTTCTCTGACCGCCATCCATCGTTATGCCCCACAGCTGACTTCCGACGTCTTCGCCGAATGAGTCTGAAACAAGATGTCCGGCGCCACAAGAGTACATTATACATTTGCTAATGATGTTCAGATGTTGACCTTGGTTCGTGTATGTTTTATAAATGAGAAATAATGTGAAACTAGAATTTGTATTAAAAATCTTCTTGGAAGCACAAGAAATTAGAAACAATGACATGAAATTTACAAAGAGGATGGGATAAAGATCGTTTCATGTCAGGAAACCTGTTTTCGTGTGTGAAAAGTCATACTTCAAGAATCTTCTCTGAAACCACAAGATCCAAATATAGGAAACCGCGAAACAGGTTGGTAGGATATACACTATATTAGAGTGTTAACGTGAAATTATAGCCTTTAGATTAAGAAAAAAAGACACATGACACAACAATTGAAAATCACACCAACAATTTATGGCTACTTATAACATGTCCTATCTGTTATCCATGTGGTACTGAATGGCAGATATGTACTATGGCTAACGTTCTTTGTATGATTTCACCAGACTAATTCGACATCTCCAAAACAGAATATTAATGTTAATGTTACTGTAACACTAATACCCTGCCTGACTGAAAGTCAAATGAGCTTGTGTCTTGGAGCGATATCCGCCGCCCGCCCGCCCGCCCGCCCGCCCGCCCGTCCATCAGTATGTCAGTCGTCAACATTTACACTTTTGACATCTCCTCTGGACCCACAACACCTTAGAAACGTATAGATTGTGTAAGACTCTACATTCCCAGTATTGCATGTTTAGTCGGAGATTACATGTGTTGTGTAGAAGCGTCTGTTATTTATTGTGGTTATTCACATTTATCCACGAATGACCTTTATGAAAAACATACTCCCGATAGGGTGGTGAGGTATACAATTTTACAAAGTCGAACCTCTCTGAATATTTAGTAATCTGTTTGCTGACATAAACCCTATTCATGAACCAACATGCGACAAAACAATTATCGGATCTTCTTAGAATTTCGAAACAAAACATAACATGTCTATTTCGTGAATGCATACTATTTTACAGACTCTTAATATACATTCGGGCGCTTGCCTCTGATTATTTACCTGTGTAAGAGTCCAACCAAGTGCCACCCACCCTCAACCCCGTCAACAAGAGCGAGTAGTGCGCAACAGTATTTGAAGTTGGTTTATGTCTTTGGTCTTTGTAACTTTGGTGAAACCCTCGAGTACTGGTATTGTTGTGACAAACATAATCAGGGCGAAGCAAGAATCGTGCCGACTTGGCCACACGTGGCCACAAGTTCAAGTGGTTGATCGGTATAAGAGTGCAGAACAGGTTTGATTTACATCAGTATTTTCGGCTGTGTTCAATACTAACATTCACAATCACAATCGCATTGCTATTTCGAAGTACTTACTCTTATTCCTCCCCCAATGTTCATGATATCAGCTCGTACCAACGCTGATAAAATTGGAAGGGTGTATGTCTGTGGTTAAATTGCTGTGAAATTAGTTAAGGTGTGTTACTCTAGCCTCACTAAGGCCATTCGTTGACGCTTTGGGAACAGTTCAACCGCCACGAAGAAAACGAATGATGTGCGTGAGGCTGATAGGAGATTAAGGACATTGCGTTACGGTTGAACATTACTTGAATAAAATTTGAGATGCGTGAATCCTTGTTGCGCTGACCGAGAAGGTGGTTGTAACAAAGGTAGCGGTGATCCCGGGCCAGTCGGAGAATACCTGAACGGAGCTGTAGACATTGAGGCAGAGTATCGGGGTGGCGACGTCGGTGGTATGTGTTGACTGGTCAGCAGTGATAACTTGTGATTTAGGTGGTCTGAACCTCTTCCTTGTTGAGATTAAAACAGTACGGGTGTGACAGTAGGACTTGAAACAGTTAACATGGGGCCTTGTTATGGTCGTATGGATTTTTATGAAATGAGGTCAGGACGGGACCCGGAATAGAGGCGATCTCCACATTCTCGTGTATAGATTGTTGAGACACCGTTCACACATCAGTTAACTTACATGTGTTGGAGACTTATGCCAATACCATATTTAATATCCATGCATTTCTTTGTAACTACATATGATACCTGTATCAAAACGTTTGTTAAAACAGTAGTAGAAGAAGCGTAATGTCAAGAGAAAGACCAATATACTATTGTAAACTTGTCATTATTAATGAACCATGCAGGCGGTTCCCAAACGTGTTTTTTCGTGTGTACAGGACCCTTCAGAAGTCTGCCTATATGTTTTAGTTTATTGTGTTGTAAAAGGGGTGGTTATGGCCGCTGTAGAAACTGTGTGTCATGTTAACTTGCTTTTTTCATAATGTGTTAGCCTCTTCACGTTGATCAAATGAATAACAATAACCTGTTGCAATGACGCCAGCTTTAGTGCACTCCACCTTGTATGTATTCTTGTGAAATAGGGGCCGGCCGGACTAATTATTAGCCTTGGCACCGTTATGTTATAGTTGATTCCTGGCAGGATGTGCCATAACTCAGAGTGGTTTTGACTCGGAATGTTATGTCATGTCATTACTGATTGGAGGAATGTGGGTTTTCCAAACTGTTTGAAACTTTTCAAAATGTCATGTGGATATTTCTGGGTGTAACTGATTACTGACAGAATGGGGGTATGATCGGTTTGGTTGTTGGTATAATATGTGTTTTCTTTATGATGATGTGTTTTATCTAGGACACCTAATCACAACCTTCCCATCGAGACTGGCCGCTAGAAAGGAATTGCAAAAGAAAACGGAATGTGTACACTATGCAACTCCCCAGCCAGAACTTATGAATTTCACTATATTTTCAGGGTTCGATCGTCTAAAATGAATAACTGAGCTTAAGAAAATGTCAAAGTTCACTTTATCATCCTTGCCAAATCCCTTCTGTATGGATCTTTTTTAATCCCCTGACTGTTAAATAGGCTCTTAGTATAAAACAGTAGAAGTTCTGAGTAGTTTCTGGTTGGGTTATGGAATCATGGCCTACACTTTCGAGTTTACATCTTGTGCAGTTTAATTGACCACATTACGTGACGTTTTCTTGTATGTGCTTTTGTTGTTATGCTACTCATAACGTTAAACCCAGGATGGTATTTACCTGATAATGATGCATTTGACATTGCTTTTCTTAATGTATTGTTATACTGAACCATGACTCTGATTTCTACATTTCTACATACGACTGTTTGATAAAATATTGTCATGCTCCGGTCAGTGCTTAACAACCTCCTGTTTGTTTCAGATGACACCTTCAAGACATTCACTCGACAAATGTCAGAAGAATCTCAAATCGTGTCCACAAGGTAAGCAAGTTCTACTCTTGTCTCGCTACGTAGAACCTTGTGATGTCCTTAATCCTAAGGCTGCCTTTCGTACCTTGAATAGAATGAGAAAAGCATGTGTACATGACCCACCAGACAGAAGATGACCCACAAACTGGTATGTTGATTGGAACAGACAAGCGGTAGCTCAAGGAAAGATAAACATTTTTTTTTTTTTAAATAAATATTACATATCATTTCGTTTGAATGTTGCGGCTTAATCGTGTTTCATTGTTTATTAGCTCACCTGACAGAAAGTGAAAGTGTCGTGGCAAAACCTGTTTACTCCACAAAAGAGACCAATAAAACTGTTGACAGTTGCAGAATCACTTAACACTACTAATAGTTGAGTATATTTGTTGGGAAAAAGTATGCTTTGATTGTAAAATTATCGACATATGTATTCAGAGAATAACAACTAGTGGACTTCGAGCGTTAATCTCACGATGGAGTAGAAGTTGGGTGTGAAGGGAGACCATAAACGTCATTGGGTTCTTTGTTTACAGACGTCGGGTAGTCCATGTTTTAATTGTTTGTAATCTTAACACATGAATTCAGTAGTATCGTTTGTGATTCATATTCACTCTTAGCTTAAGAATAAATGCATATTTATTGTATTTACTGTATATAGCTTAGTTATGAATGTCGCATACTGCATTCATTCAGTGAGAGAGAAGTTACTGCAACGTAGATAGCTGGGGGATTTAAGTCCTTTAACCAAGGCTATTTTAGTCACGTGCAATGTCATATCTATAATCATTACCAAAGAGAGCAAACAGAGCCAATTCCTGGCCACGTCTTCATATATGTGCAGTTTTGCCCTTGATTCCCACTATTAAGACATGGAGTAAAAGGAACAAGAGGTGTAAGCGTCTTGTTTCATTCACTATGCAGCTGCGCCAGTAACACTCAGTCCAATAAATCATTCATCGCTTCTGTAATGAACTGACGTATTTTAATCAATGTCAGACAGTTCAATAACAGTTCAATGACTGCTGTTGAAACATGACCTCTTGTGAAGCGCTACACCTTTGTTGGATGTAAGTAATTATTACTGTAGTCTAAACATTTATATGAATACTAAAGATGATTTATTAAATAAGAAATACATTCAATAAGAAATACCGTATCGCGAGGTGTTTTTTTATTGATCAGCTGTGGTTTGCTTGTTTCCCATAGTAAATCGTCGCAACATTATTAACAACATATCATTATGTATTAGTACCCGATAGACGTGTTGGACTCTGAAAGAGTTAAAACAAAACCATCCGTATTCTTTGTTGGATTGTCTTTGTATAAAACGTTTATACGAATCCTACATTATTTAGGCTGAGAAATTAAGTCCGGCACCGTATACAAATTAGGCTATATTTTCAAAACCTATGGAATGTTATTGATTAGTTTCCCATCCCAATTACGGCTCAACCTTTTGCTCAAAGTCACCACAAGGCATATTAAGTGAGTGCTTGACGTTCTGCAAATTCAGATCCGTTTTTAAAGATGGCGGGCATGGCAACCATATTGTAAATATCAGTTATATATAGTTTTTATAGCGAATTATGATATACAGTAAGTATGTTTTATGCAAAGTATTATGATAAGTTTTAATTGTTTTGGTACCCTGCCACAGAGCCTGTACTCTCACACACCCCGTTTTACACGCCCAAAGCTATATTGACAATCCATTTGAAACATGTGAATTGATGACATTTTATGAATACATTCCATGCAAATGTGCCTCGACAAATGCTCTCCGTATTCCTCTCTGATTTGATACATGACAGCGACATCAGTCTTATCATAATATATAATTGTGACCTAGTACCTAGTACCAATGTGACATGTGATCATTTCTTCGTTTCAAACACAAATGTTACCTTGCCTTGGGATAGGGACGCTGTGGAACATTGTCGATCAATGTGAAACCACTCTGTACGTATTACAAGAGGAACACATGTAATAAGAAACCTTTGTAATATTCAGTGTAGTAACAACGCATCGAATTACTGAAATTATTTAGTTATGTCACCACAGGACCACGAAGGTTAGCACTTCTATCATGTACTACTAGAATTCCTGAACAGAGAGCATGTATGAGCAAATCTTCATTGTACGTGGTGCGTTGTTGAACGAATCGAAGATTCGCCCAGATTCTATGAATCATGGTTTGCCAGCAACATACCCGGAGGTTTCACCAAACTTGTAACCATCTGAGACCTGCATCACTGCCCCTTACATTAAGCTGACACATGTAACTGAAATACCGGCTCAATGAAGTCACTCACTGACTACGATGACAGTATGATGTAGTAATGCATGCCACGGACATAAAATATCACTATCGAGTAAATGGGCATTTTGGTTTGGTATTTTGTGATATTTGAAAGGTCTTAGAAAGGGGTTTCACAACAATGGTTACTGTGTGAAGTAAATACTCCTGATAATAATGGCAGTTCATCAAGGGAGCAACATATATGTGCTTGAGCGCCACATGGATTTGTTCTTAATCCATTCTTATTTCTTATATATTAACTATATCTGTGATGTATAAATAAAAACGTCTTTCCCCCCGACTCACTCGCTATATTGCATCCTATCTCTCAAATTGACAGAATATAAATTCATTCATAGCACGTGTTTCAAAGAGGAAAGTCAATATGTAGTAAATAAGAGCAATCGTTTAAAGACACATATATCAAGTCCTTATTACACCAACCTCAAATAAACGCCAAATGTAGAAAAGTTCGAGTTATGTTCTTCTAATAATCCCGGTATAATAAATAAAAACAATACATCAGCTACTTTTGTCTTTTTGTAAAAAGAGCCTCTTTTGCATATCTGGATGGCTACCCTGATCTGGCTACTACATTGAGAAACAAACTTGTGGGCATTATTCAGCCACGTCAGTCACCTGACTAAAAGTAGTTCGAAGAGAAGCTCAACACATATGCTCTGTTTTCACTATATGTTACATTTTGACCCTTATATAACCTTTTGCACTTTGACCATGTTCTAATATTGTCTCAGAATACATTTCGTCACACTGTGAACGTCATCTGCGCACACATCACAAGACTAATGAAGCTGAAATGATGACACCCCAATTCAAAAAGTTGCAATCTGATTTTTGTAAAGCCAATACTCGACCCTTTTTTGTTCGGAATGTGATAAAATTTGGTAATTGTTTAGTTTCAAGACATGTTCCGTGTTAAGCAATATTTTAAAATTTGACCTTGTTTTGACCATGCTCTTAAATTTTCTCAAAAGTATTATGTTTCTCCTCGTGATGAGTATATTTTGTTCAAATCATTAGAGTTTAGTGTTTGGCTTTTGTCCTAAGTATTTATGCAAATCAACGGTTTTTGGAATATCCATGTTCACAGCAACTTTCTTTAGTATCTATCTTTATTGCCATTTTAACTCTTGACTGCATATTCAGGTGCGATATTGTGTCGTGGCTCTAGTTTTGTTATACATGAACTGACATGTGGTAAGAGGGTAGCCAGCAGTGGTACTCCACCCATATTATATTTGACTGTGTTTCTATCTTTGTGTTTTGAGCATGCTGTTAAGTTCTCTCAAAATACAACTTTCAAAATACTATTCCTTTACTGAGGAAGCTTAACTATGACACGATTGTTCTTATCTGTTGATGAAATCATATCCTGTTCGAATCTGTAGAATTTAGTGTTAGATACTGCAGAAAATATTTAAATCTCGACAGAAACTTTCAAGAGGCCATCTTTGTTCATACTATTAGTTTTACATTCAAGCGTAAGTATCTATAGAAGTACATCAAAGATTCAATGAGAAAGCTTAAGTTTATACTCAGTCGTAGTGTGTTGGACAAGATTTATGTGATGTTTCTTAGACCACATTTTGAATATGCATGTGAAGGTTGGGACGGTTGTACCAAAGAGCAGAGTGACAGATGAGAAAACTCCAACTGGAAGCAGCAAGAATTGTAACTGGTTTAGCAAGCTATAGTTCCGTCAAAAATATATTTCCTAGGAGCCCTTGTCAGAGCCTGGGAGAAAACGTAAATTGTGTTTATTTTATAAAATATATAATGATATGACACCTTCACACCTTAAAGATCTAGTACCTCACTCTGTCGGGACAAACACAACATACAACCTTAGAAATGCTCATGATATAACTTAGCCTTTATTACGTACTAAGTTATCTGAATCCTCGTTTACACCATACTCTATTAAATTGTAGAATAGATTACGCATTCAGCATAGGACTATTGAAACCTCTCGATTTAAATCCAGCTTAAGAACAGATAAATCTATAAAGAAAACAAAACAAAAAGGCTTGAGCGAGCAATGTTAATGTACATACGTTTTACTTGATTGGATCAAACCATTTATGAATAGGTATATATTGATGAAGTCACGAGTCATCTGATTAGCTGTCCAAATGACTAATGAAAGATGTTAGGGCATGCACCAAAAGGTGGTCATGTTGCTTTCTTTTTAGGGACCTTTCTTGTTCACATCATACTTGTCGTTTACAGGACACGCACTCACACGCTGCCCGGAAGACGGAGAGTACTCCTGTAAACAATGCGGACCTCGGTTTTTCCAACCTAATGAAAACCGATTAGGCGATAAGTGCCGATGGAGGTATGTTGCATCTACCTTCTTTCCTTCCCGAACCCATAAATCCACCCATGCTTTCCATGGACGATGTTTTTTTCTGGTATTCTGAAAGTGGATGTGTTAGCTGTATGCTCTCAACAGGATACTATTTCATTCAGCGCTTGAAAACATAAAAGGAGTGAGTGAGTTTTTATGCAGCTATTGACAGTATTCCAGTTATATCACGGCGTGTCAGCTTAAAATGGGAGGACAGGTCTCAGGCGATTACCACTTTGGTGAAACCCACCAGCATGGATATGATGCTGACAAATATGATGGGTATGCTGTTGAACCTACAACGATAGGTTCCCAAAGAATGAAACTCGTTGTAACGGTGAGTGAGTTAACATTGTCACCGGTACAGCGGAGCCCCGTGTACGATGATCTGGATGTTTGACATTCCTAACAAACTGTTATATGAATGTAATGGCACGGTTAAAATCAGATCTCGCAGGGCACACCTAGAACACATTTCTTACATACCTTGTGATAATGATTACAAGGATTTAGAAATTGAAGCAGGTAACTTCATTCTCAATGAAAAGGATTTCGCTATGACGAATCACAAAGTTACCGCTTTAATCACTTAGTTTCCACCCTCCAGGAATCCCAGCTACAACGCCTTCCCCATGTCAAACACACTTACTTGAGGAACAATTTTAACGCACAGGTATTGGAGCAGTATGTTTATTCTTTCTGCCATATTCCCAAATCCAGCAACACAGGGTAGTGCTTCCAAGTACCACTATCCATTGTGACATTCCCACTCACCACAACCTGCCTGAAGCTGTCAACTTCGGTTTATATAACATGCATTAATGGTACTCGAAGTAAGAAGAGAGGGATTTGATCGCACCATGTATCCAATCCTTTCAAAACAGTTATAAATCGGTCTCCCATTGAAGCTCGGGCATCAAGCAACACAACAAGCTTAACATTGGTATGCCCAGCCACGCTGTCGTACTTCTCTAGGCAAATCTCGTTACAAACACCTAGGTCTCGTCTCTCCTACACTACGGCCGGATATTCTATTGATCACGGAGCATGAAATCATCCGTCGTTTCTCTATAATTTCCTTCCACTTGGAATTAAGCACATCCTGTCGCAAATACGCGCCGGTTCCCTCGGGGAAAGTATGCACAAGAATAGGAGGATACATGCTATCCAAGTTCAGAAGGCCCTGAACAGCATTGATTTCATTACTTTAGGCTTGTCCGTACCATTTTAGTTTCCTTAAAAGCTATCGGCGATCACCGTCTCCATTTGGTCAATACTCCTGCTGCTATGCCTTTCTGTCGGCTTTGCATACATGGTGCCACAGCAACGATCTCTGTGAACACGGTATTGACTGTTATCAACATATAAGATGTGGATATTTCGACTGCTTTGACGCTTCTGTACGGCGCGCAGTCTCCAGTCGCGAACTGTATTTGTAGCGTTTAATTACCACGAAAATTAACGGTTATCTTCATTGGTTGAATTACGGCGACCAAGCAAGAAACAGCAAGTCACATGAAGTAACCCCTGTGTCTTGTTGTGACGCCTATGAAAAATTTATAATTTATACCCCTAATGGCAGAAATCGACCCGGTCTCCGGGACATCACGATAATCTGTGTTATATATGCTGTGACCATTACACTGTCAACTGTAAACGCACATCGTCATAGTGACTGTGTGCAACTGTAACCATTGGACCACGTCATTAAAATATAAACTCATATGTACGTATACTGTTTCAAACATGTATATGTTGTCTGTAACCGAATGTGTGCATAGTTATTGTAAGTACATACCTATATGTTTATGTTCACAGAGAGCATGACAGAATATGTGTGTAGTCCTTGTAGGTATATAACTATATATTTATGTTCACAGAGAGCATGAGAGAATATGTGTGTAGTTATTGTAGCTACATAACTATATATTTATGTTCACAGAGAGCATGACAGAATATGTCTATAGTTATTGTAGCTACATAACTATATATTTATGTTCACAGAGAGCATGACAGAAAATGTGTGTAGTTATTGTAGCTACATAACTATATATTTATGTTCACAGAGAGCATGACAGAAAATGTGTGTAGTTATTGTAGCTACATAACTATATATTTATATTCACAGAGAGCATGAGAGAATATGTGTGTAGTTATTGTAGCTACATAACTATATATTTATGTTCACAGAGAGCATGACAGAATATGTGTGTAGTTATTGTAGCTACATAACTATATATTTATATTCACAGAGAGCATGAGAGAATATGTGTATAGTTATTGTAGGTATATAACTATATATTTATGTTTACAGAGAGCATGACAGATCGGGTTGTAGTGGGGCTTGTGTTTGACAGTTGTATTTCGAGCTTAGTGAACGGTGAAACTTTTCATGGCGATTAAAACGCCATTTTTTTCAAAATTGAATACTGTTTGGTAAATATTCTCTGTTTTCTCGATATTTTAGACTTTGTCATTTATTTGGCCTTGGCCATCGCAGCCATATTGAAAAAGCTATTTATGAGCTATTTTTACGATTTCTTCTGAAAACGTTATGTATAATACTCATGAATTATATCCAAATGCATTTTTGGCTCTGTAAACATTTTCTCCTCTAAAGGTTATGGACATAAGCTTAGTAGGTATGTAAGACTCAGAGTTGAACTTTGTGTAAAGAATATTTAGTAAAGAAAATATTAATACTTCCCATATATTTCCCAAATTATGTCATGAAAACGTTGTTATTTGCAATAGCTTGTGTACAGTTTTTACATTTATTTTTGTTAACATTATCTAGAATATATTACGTATTCGAAATGAGAGTGTATTTCGTCAGGCATTTGGAAGGTGTACATCACAGTGACACAAGAAATATGGATTTGGACATGGGTAACGTTTAATGACTACCCTTTTTGCCCCTTCATCAGGTGAACGATAAAAATCAGGTAATGTTCAATCGAGATTTATACAGGTAGGGTGGTGAGGTGAGATGATAAAGATGAGTGGACAAATAGAAAGTGAATTGAATTTGAATTAAAGTGAGGACTATGCATGTCCTCACAGTTGGTATTTTTCTTAGTGATTAGTTTATAATTATATTGTGTATGAACTTTGGGATTGGGAATGGTAATGTGGAGTTTTCCGAGATGTCTAAAATGCAGTGACACTCGAGGGAAACGTATGAATGTCTGCAGCTGGGTGAAACAAAGAATTATGCTGAAAACGTTTTATATGTCATACACCATACCACATACTTGCTCCATACAAAATGTCATAATGGTTCGTACAGAACACTTCCGATATTGCTGCCATATAAGCCAGTTTAAAGTCGGACGTCTGTGAGCAGTAAGTTTTATGAGGAGATTTAACGATAAATGGCGAACGGATAACGCGGCAAGAGTGAAGTGAGTGAGTTGGGTTTAACGCGTCTTTGAACAGTATTTCAGTTTTATCACGGCGTGTTAGCTTACAGAAATCCCGCAGTGAAGCAGGTATAAGACTTTTACCACTTTAGTGAAACCCACGAGCACATACCGTGCCATAATCCGTATTGTATCATAACATATACTTATACCCTTATAGATACCTCTCCATCACTCCTTCACGGTGTGCTAGAAAACATGAAATTAAAGTCATTTTAAAATTCTATCGCAGGAAGTATTTTCGTTTATGTCATTGAACATCGATATTGTCCCCACCTCGGTAGCCCCGTTCTGAAATGATGTATGCTTTTCAGTATTGATTTCCCCTACCGGTAGCCTAAGACAAGAAGGCCTGCTCTATCATTGATTTCCCGTTAAGATAGAAACCATGCATTCCTTGGCGCGGTTCTGTGTCAACATTCTTCTCAATCGTCAACAATTTCCAAATCACAGGGGGTCATTATAGGGTGACCGTTCACAATACATTCTCTAAAGCGTGCGCCTGGTTCGCCACAGAGGCGATATTCGATAGTCGGTCGGTGTGGACGAAGTGGAAGGGGGATGTGGTCCAGTCATTACCGAGATTCACTGATTAATATCAGCCATCCCGGAGTATGGTTGATAGGGATATACACAGATTTTTTATCGCCATATCATGACTCAGACAAAAAGAATAGGCCGCACATTCATTTGTCAAAACACAGAAAGGCTTGTATCCGTCATTGTGCACGACAAGAATAACTTAATTGGGATCATGTCGAGGATGAGCCTGTATTGTTTAATTTGAGTGACAATGAATATTTGATAAAAGTGTAGTGAGTAATGACTTCAAGTTCAAACAGTATTTAATTCCACATGGAAAGGTTCATACCACGAGTGAAGCAAGTCTCATATCACTTTGGTGAAACCCACGAGAACGGTACGGTACTAAGAAACCAGAAGGGTTTTGAAAACGGGATCCACACGACTAAACATAAATCTACATTTCTTCCTAAGACTCTGAACGAAACCAGGAGAGTACGTTCTCTTTTTTGGATTCGTGACTCATGTGTGCCCTGTTTACCGTTTGGAGGAAAGTATTATCATGTCGCTTCTCTCGATTCCTTTCAGGAAAAGATGTGATAAGCCGTTTATGAAGTACAGCAACTACGGCAGCACAGTCAAAGATGCAATTTGTGAATGTAATCCCGGCTACCATTTTGAGAACGAGGATCAGAGAGCCTGTGTCCCAAACAGAGACTGCGACAAGGGTTTTGGTCAAGGCGAATATGGTGAGTCACTATGATATGATACATGATTTGAAATAAGATAATATGTGATATAACCTTTACCAGTAGAGAGAAAGGCACAGGTAGTCTGCCACACTGTCCCTGAACCATATTATTTTCGCTTATGCCCAGTCCTTATCGTGATTTTATAGCCCTAGATGAAGCAAGTCTAGAATTGCCCCAGGTTGTGGTCTCATTTCAATGAGCCACGTTTTCAATTTAAAGGGAGTTGTATATTTCTATCAAAATTATATATTTTAGAGACTGGCACCTATCGCTAACACCAAAGGACTCTAGATGTATTTTGTCACGTAAATTGTATTTTGAAGTTTCCGGAAGCATGTTTGTCTGTCTGGAAGACCTTATTCTTGTGTACTTGTTTACCTATCAATGTGCATAGGGAGGGAGAGTTTGTCATTTTGATCAAAGTCGGTCCTTTTTTTGCAGTTCGGGTTGCTGCTCAAGGTTTCTAATTTGCCCATGTATTCTCATTAGACGTTGTACGTAAAAGGTACAGTTATGTCTGTTTTGTGTGTTACAGGTGTATGTGAAAACTGTATTGAGAAAATGATGTATTCCGATGTAAAAAATCCAAGACAAAAGTGTAAGCCTCTTAGAAAGTGAGTATGTTTCTGAGTTTTTTTTCAAATATGCCATTCTTTTAATGAGTGATGGTAAATGTTTTAGTAACAGGCTCACCTGACTGCAAGTCAAATGACCTTATGTCACCGGCAGCTTATTCGTATGTGTCCCTAGACATTTTTTCTTCAGACCCCACCAATGAAGCTGAGACTGCATATGCCTTTCTCATAGAGCTGACACTTGAATTTTGTGAAGAGTTCTGAATCCGATTTTCTATATGGCAACTAAGGCTTAAATATGACTGAACTATGACTGAACAATGACTGAACTATTTGAATGTATAAATCCTGAGTATTGTTTGAATTACACATTCCAAGTTTAGTTCTTTTAATCATTAATCATAATGTTATAGGGGATTAATGTAACTTAGAGGTTTGATAAAGTTAATTTTAAGACATAATTCTCATTTATTATTGCTCCTCCGTTTATCATTATTCATATTACTTATGTATGACACCTCATTCTACGAGTGCCACGAGGTATGTTCCGGGAGACAAAAAGTCCTCGTTTTGTAATAAGAAATTATGAGAAAAATATAGGGGAATATCCTAATAGCACGTTTACGAAAATCTTACAACCCAATATTAAGCTGCAGTCAACTATCGACACAATAAATCATCTGGATCCAGATTATCGAAAACCAGATTAGTTTCTGAGTCACAATTCTCGAATAAAATAATTTGTTCCCTTTGTGAATATAATAACGTTTTTTCCGAAAAGGTTCACTTTCACTGCACATGCTGGATGTTCTGAACCATAAATGGCGCCTCATTTCAGAAAAAAACAAACAATTGTATGTTTTGAAGAACTAACTGAAAATATGTTCTGGAGGATATAGTATTATCTTACGAAGGCGGACTCGCCCATTATGCCGTTTACTCTCAACAATTGGCGACCAATTTCTCTGAATTACACCTTAGATAAATTGGCATCATCAATCGTTCCATTAATATCAAGTTGTTTTAATTGAGTATACAGAAACGTGTCAAATACTAGTACTGACAACGCCTAATTTAGTGTTTTGATTTTGTTTGGATTTGGATCAAGTTTTGTATTGGTAAATCGACTTTCTGTTTCCATTGCAGCTATTAGTAAGTAACTGAAGGAATAAATATCGTCATATATTGTGAAAATATTTACCAAACTATAAGCCAAGTACGTTGATGCATTGGATCAGAGTAAACATTTCGCCTTTTTGATGCATACTTTTCTCTTAATGTCCACGGGACACCATATTGCACTGGAGGGACATTACACTCTTTACGTAGGAACAACACAACCACTTGTCTGATCGGACTACCATGTTGCTACTTTATTATTGTTATTAACTTTCCAAAGGACTCTTTATGATTACTTGTTATCTTGCTTTTGACAGTGGTAGCGACGCCTTTCACCAACCTGTCATTCTGTAGCTTAAGCAAACATTTGTACCTCACCATAAACTTCAATATCAAATGTAATTCCTTCTTTAAGCAAAGACTTATTCAATTAATGGTTGCACCAAAGACAATTTCAGACTGGAGATTGTATTACATCTTCATGTACGTACGTTGTTTTGCTGTTATGAGGTGATGTATGTCTTGAGCGGATGCATTAGCTCTGGTGAAGACAACTACTACTGATACAGGAACCTTAGATGTTATACTTTTAATAAGATAGAAACAAACAAATAATAGTTTAAGATGGGTTTCATGACATGCAGTCGGAAACGTCAATAGATTATTCCGCCCGTAATATGCAGCTACTTTTCCAACCCGAAATGTGCAAACAGGAATAGTACCGAAATCACGGACAATGAGTAAATACTGAAATCTTCAAATACTCAGGCTAGGCTATAGACAAGAGAGAATGTAAACTGAAGATCAAGCAATAGAAACATGGTTCGGAATTGCTAAAAACAATTATCCCTACGTTGATTGTAAAATCCCCTTTGTGCTGATTATTGAAACAATTTGTCGTGAGTTGTAATGAGGAGGCTGAGTTGTGCCATCAAACATAAGAGTGAGCTGTTGAGGTAGTACACATTTATATATGTTCAATTTCATTGTATGGGGTTTCAATTAATCATTTGAGGAAAGTAAATCATCATGGCAAACCAAATGCAGACGATAAGTACCGTGTGCACACATGAGAACAGAGTATTCCTATCTCTGATTATTGAGGAAGTTGGTCTTTTGATAGTTGTCTCTTGTAACTACCTCTGCAGTATTATTTTAACTGTGTAATTATTACGTGTATATTTAAGATCACCTAATTGGATTGTAGGGGAGAAGAAATGGGATATTGATTGGTTCTGGAGTAATGCGATTTGGGGGACAGGGTTATAATGGTCTATGGGCGCGTTTTCCAATTTCTTTTTTCTCGTGTTTCAGCTGCGAGAAGGAGAGTCGATGCACGAAAAAGAAAAGTAATGGCACCTTCGACAATGAATGTGGCCCTGTAGTTAGAGGTAAGGTTTTGGTCTCCATAGGCCGTCAGGGGAAGTATATCGCCAGGTTGACTATTGTGCAGCTTGGACAAGAGATTTACTTTATCGTCGACCTAATGCAGCTCAACTAGATTTGAGGACTAACGGTAGCCATAGGAATGGCGGCATCATTGCTAAGAATCATCATTCAGCTGATAAACCATTTGTTTATAGTGTATCTTTAGTTAAACGTTCCTAACGGTGTTTTGAGATCATAATTATTTTATTGAATTTATGTTGTACCTTGACAGCAGCTATTCAGCTGCCAGTGACAAATTGGAAATGGCAGACATGTGGGCATTGGTATTACAAGATGCTGGCTTTACTCCAATACGTTTAAGCATATCCTGGATTGGAGATGGCCTGGTTTGGCATCTCAAAACTGGATACAGTACCCGTTCATGTTACACATCTCTTTATCAGTAGTAGTAATAATAATGTTGGGGGGGGTGGGGGCATTACACTTCGTTTGAAAGACATGACACCTGAAACCATATGGATCCGAATTCCACCTGTCTCGTTGCTTGGTGAATTTGAGTCTCTTATAGCTGATCACGATTACAGGTTCCTCGTATAGTCAACTTGGAGAATACTTTTCACATGTCGTATTGTTCTACTTGGAAGATGTGGCTATGACATGAGGATACTAAATGTGTCAATGGCGTATTTTTCGCCCTGACCTACAAGTACCATCTCTTTTCTCAGAGCGTTATATGGGGAAGGTGTTGGTTTTGCCACGGTATTGGGGCCCAATCAATGCTTGTCCCATCTGCTAACAAAGAAGCGTATCTGACTAATCTTCTTCAATCCTCCATGAACAATCTGTGCACTTGGATTTAATGGATGCATTTAAAGGACTGGGGCTTGGCTCAGAACTTTCACCCTCATGCATGATGTTGGCAAATCAAAACTATGGAGCAGCAGAACATCCTGTTCTGATGGAAGGTACACGAGCAACGTATTTGATACGAAATAATACACCTGAATTTGAACTGCTTCTTCATCTGGCAGACGCGTTTTAAGTACAACCACAAACTAAACCGTCAACAGGGACATCTGTCGAATGAAGAGAGGACTTCAGCAATAGATTACAGACAGTTTAGCGAGTTTTGGCAGATTAAAGAAAATAACCAATACAAAGACACATTGTTTGCTGCAATCAAAGGTACGAATTAAATTTCTGCCTAGGACCTAAAGCAACTGGACTGAGGAGATGTTATTTTAGAAGTTTAGAGTGTTATTTATCATGTCTACTCTCACATGATAATAAGACCATGTTTGAACACCCAAGTATTAAAATATGCTTACACATATATCTGCATGGTGAAAAGATATGTTGACAGTTCATTGATTGTATATGTCACCATGGAATACGTAATTGTATCTTATCGTGCTATTTACCATACACCAACAACAGTTTATTGAACTTAACTGATATATATTTACATTCTTTCACATATGACAAACTGTATAGTTGTGACCAGTGGTCTACGTACAGTCTGTACAAACATGAAGATCCTTTATTGTAATTATCAGGGATTGTTTTATCAATACTGTTAGCTTATCAGTTGAACCGCTTGGTTGTCAGGGAACCTATACTTTAACATCATCTTTCATGACATCTACCAAAGTGTGCAAGCCACCAGTGTAATTTGCAGTTTGAGTCGTCGCTTATGCATGTGAAGTTGCATAATTATGGTAATGAATGTAAGATTACTCTTCTTACATTGTCTCCATTGCAGACATCAACGACTGCAGCAGTATTGTATCTCAAATTGATGGCCCAAACACAAAACTGAAAACAGCAGCCATTATAGGCGGTGTGGTGGGGGCTTTAGTTCTTCTTGTCCTCCTTGTACTCCTGCTCCTCTACAGACGGAAGAACCACAAGAAGACACACAGGGTATGCCTCTCTCTCTATCTCTGTCTATGTCTCTCTATCATCATCATCATCATCATCATCATCATCATAATCATCTTCTGTGTGGATATGTCTACTGTTCACCTCGTTACACTATGTTTGTTTCCAGAATGTAATCTTAACAGAGGATCAACTCGAAGAACTCAAGAATTTGATCATTCAAAAGTGCGAAAAAGATGATGATCTAAGCAAAAAAGGTACAGTGCTTAGATACGGTAAAAAGACTGAAGTGACATTTGGGAACATGATGATGTGTAGTTCGTATATGTTGGGTATATATTTTAGGTTTGCCTTTTTTTACTTTGCCCTTCGCACTTCATTTGTTTGATATATGTTTTCTTAAAGCGCAAGTGAAGGTATCGTGCCAAAAATACATTTACATGTCTTTTTAGCTAGACTTGATACGATGGTGTTTCTGTATTAACGGTGCACTGCGTTAGATATTGTTTCCCAATCGATGTATTAAACGGGAAGTGATTAAAAATGGTTCACTAAGGTAGATACAGACTGGGGACTTTATTCTGGTTTGAGGAGGCAATGTTCCCGCAACCTGAAGGTACTGGTTAGAAATGTATTGAGGTATGTCGTGGTTTGTGTTGCCATGTGAAGATAGCAGCGAAGTTTCTGCTCTTGTTTTTTGCAAATATCTGCAAAAACATTTCTGGTTTGTGTTTTTTGCTTATATTTCTTAAGCTTTTTATGATGTAATATTGTAGAATGTGCTACATGTCACTACACGTGTTACATCTCGTGGATAATGTGATTATTGACCAAGATTCCTAATAAAGGATATATTCATCAATATTACCATTCTTTTTCGCCACAGTTACTTTTCGCTGACGTGCGACTACGCGTTCCCTCCGTATGACGTGATTACTAATGTTCGTTATACCATTGCTACTTCAGTGTTGGACGAATCATTCAGCCAGATCGAGTCCAGGATTGAACGACAGGCATGGGGTCTGGCACAAGATATGTTCAGATCACATCCTATGCCGGGCAAATACGAATTAGTGGTGGAAACTTATAAAGGTACATATTAGATGTTTTATTGGCTTTCTAACTGTATATGCATACATTCAACGTTCCCTGATAACTCTATATCCAGCCAGAATGTTAATAATCGTTTGACAGTAGCATATATTCATATGTGATGAATCAGTCAAGGTACAGAGGCTACACAGTAAGTTGAGAATATCCACCATGTCCACAGACGATGTTATGAACAATATGTGACATTCTAACTGTTTCTGTTGACAGACAAAACACCACGAGAGACAATTAAGGGATATCTGAGCGAGTGGAAGTCTTGGAAAGGAGAGAACCATACAGCAGTGACAGAGCTGTTTCAGTGTCTCCGTAACTGTAAACGAGATGACATTGTCTATGAAATATGCAACAGACTTAGAAGCGATGTTGGTATGTATTATCAGGAATGAACCTATCTAGCAACCTGCCTACAGTGAAAATACGTACGTAGGTGATTGACTCAAGCATCTCAGTATGATCGTTAATTTTCTTGCCAGATGTTAAAATTGAATACCAGAATTGATATTGTGTCACATTCACACGTCCTCGTGTGTTGTCCTTGTTAGTTTATGTTTCACGTGCATCTTGCTGAAGGTGTAGGAACATACATGGTGTGCATGTCCCTGTAGGATGTATGTTCAGCAGTCAATGTAACTGGAAAGTTTTATTTTGCAGGTGACTTATGTGTGGACGCTGAAGGTAATGTGATTGAAAATCACACCTACAACAGAGCCCAGAACAACTTTTGCCATGACATTGCTGACGTTTTTCCGTGTATTAAAAAGACAGAAAAAACACAAATTGAAAAAGGGGAGAATCTTGAAACAACAAATAAACTGTTAGAAGCCCAGACCAACATGGACCCTCATACCACTAGCGCCGTGTTTCAGGGGAGAACCTACCCTACTGCTCCTGTGCCCGACGAGACCAATGGTCTCCTCACAGAACCTGAAGTGCATTTTCATCGCCAGTATTCTCAACCTGTGCAGGCAACAACATGATATGCCCCAGAAGTACATCATCTGTCTACAAGCTATCACTGCACTTCCTTCCATTCGTTAACATGGATGTGGAAGATTATTGCATTCTGGAAACCTGTCTGCAATAGTGGTTACCATTTCTATTATTTGCTCACGGGGACAACATCCCATGACTTGTTTTATACAGTGTGAATGGTCATTTAATGTGAAAAGTCGCATCAAGTGTCTAGTTAATACCCACAGACTTCCAACGTAGTAATGTGACAAGATGTAGAGTCTATTACGGAGTAATGCTTTTTGACAGTGCAATAGTTTCACTATTGATCTAGTTACTTATGATGAATGTAAAGCACAGTCATGAACTGATGTACAGTCACGTGTGTAAAACCATGAACAGAACAGTGTTCAAACATACTTTTATGGTATATCTGTTCTGCTATGCTGCAGAGAACCTCTTCATCCATCTTGACAGGAAACCAGTCCAGTTGTGACGATTGCATATCAACAATAGCACAGTATGCATTTCACCGAGTGGTAGCAACGAGTCGTCCTGTAATACTTTGGACGGGGTGGTTTAGGAGAAGAAAGAGATTCAAAACAACCGTAAAATATTATTGCATGTTTTCTTTGATTGCTGGATATACATATTGATCTTGGTGTTTATCTTGGTGTTACAAAGCACAGGCTACATACTTCTATCGGCAAGATGCACATCTTGGGTTCAGTTTGCTTTTTGGTACTGTGGTGATACGATTTCTTCTGTGGTGACCAGTCCTCAGTGACGCGACACAGTCCAAGTGTCCACTACGATGCAGGATGGTTCCTTCAGTAAGTGCTACCTTCTTGGGGTTCTTGGTTATTTAAGGCCCCTTAGGGAATCAGCTAAGAAAGTTAGCCCCACGACAAAAAAACACACACTCGTGCACATACACACACGCATATGCGTACACGTAAACACATACACACACGTATACACACATGTACACACACATAAGTATATATTATACACACACAGATACCTGTTCCGGTAATATTGTTGATGGTGAGGGGAGGGGGGGGGGGGGGGGGGGGGGGGTATAAGGGAAGCAGTGATAAACATAAACATACTGGCTATCTCATCTAAACACCTTCGTATAAATGGCAGAATTTTGTGCAGACGTTGCCACATTTGTATTACTGTCAATATCAATCTACTCGTATTTTGTGTTCAAACTTCTAACTTTCATTCTGTAATTCATGATATATCTGTTATTCTAGTTTTACATATAACTATATCTTTTATCATTACTAAATAAACATAAAATTTGCTAAATTCAATACAAGCCGGTGCTTCGTACCGTTCTACATAACTGATATATTTCTTCGATCTAATGCTAATGCTAATATTACCCACAGGGGAACGGATCCGTTATTTCGGTAAGCCTCGCTGAGAAATATTATGTTTGAGTAACGCTGACTAACTTATTGACACATTGTGTTCAGTTGTTTCGTTGCTTGGGAAAGGCATTGAGTGGCTGTCCGTACATTAATGTCGTGTCGCAAATGATTGGAAATATCTTTTGCGTCAGATGATTTAGTTTGACATCGTTCAAACAATCATTTGATATCACTTTAGTCAGCACCCCGACATTTTTCTTCATTCTCTTATACAAGAAAAGACTCTGGGTAATATATAGAAACATCTACTCGCATCTCGGATTTGCGGATTATCTGACCCTCGTGCATTGATGTTGAAAGTCGCGACACGTCTTCTTGGGACTATTAATAGTAATTCATTAAACGAATTAAGATAATCCGTGATTTCTGGTAGCTCGTAACTTATTCTGAAAGTATAGACCGATAACCGATCTTCCGTTTCCAATTTGCTCATACCACCTGTTGTATCATAGGTTCATGCATTTGTCTATTTATACTTTAGAACTTCGCAATTTATCATTTAACTTTACCGATGCAATATATTCATTTTATTCACATGTTACATTATGTCTTGCGGTCATAATAACTGTATATGTATGCCAAAACGATGTTTACCATATTGTTTAAACAAACATACACGTGCCCGCATGTTTATGAGTTTAAGAACAATACAAATCATGAAGCGTCCACGTTATTACCCACTTAAATACTTTTTGAGGCCCTGTTGATCTATGAAAGCAGTCTGTATGCGCCGTAGCTACATTAGTTTATTTGATAAATGTTTGGGCATTGAGAATGAGAAGTTTGGTCTCACAGTCGACACATTCCGTAGATTAACAAGATTTGTTTCATTTTCCTGTAACTAAAGTCCTTTTCTATCAGGGACCAAATTCTGTTTCTGAGTTTTTAGATTTTGTCGGGATCTCTGACTTTTACTTACTTATATTAGGAGATTTTACGTGCGCTTTCCGACTGGAGCGTATTTCGCACACGGATAGTGTAACATTTTTGCATAACTTTATATTTTGTATCCGTATGTAATACAACAATTGTTTTGGAGGGTATGAATATGTGGCAAAAGTCTGCAGTAAAGAATCATTGATTTTCACAGCCAAATGTAAGACTGAAGGTCCCTAAACATGTAAAAATGTTAACAGACTTAACTGTTGAAAAAAACTAAGAACAGACAATCTATCGCAGTCAGGAAAAGTAATCAGTTTATTAAAAACGCCTTTGCCTGGCACAGCTTACTGTCACACACTGTAGGTGTGTGTTTGACTATTCAACGTATTACTACATAACAGTTTACTTCATTTGTCATATTGCTATGTACATGCCTCACTACCCGCGTTGTTTATTGTGATACTGTAGTTCTTACGTTCTTCTATAGACCAAATACTAGAGGTTCATATCGTGTACCTTCATATACCCTTGTCGGTTTTGTATCATGCCAACAAGCGAATGCCTGTGTTTATGCAGTACGCATTTTACATGTATATTGCAATTTATGCGTATGGAAATAAAGAACTATTTTTCAAAGAGATGACTTGTAGCACAGAACACGTATCTTCATGGTAACTGCACAAGATGTCCATATTGATCCAGCGACAAAAAATAACACAACCTTCTTCATTTATCAATCATGTTTGGAGTTGTTCATGCCAAAAGGGGCGGTTGGGTAGCCTGGACCAAAGGGTTCGAGTCCCCACATGGGTACAATGGGTGAAGTCCATTTCCGCCGTGATATTGCTAAAAGCGGCAAAAAAAGAACACACTCGCTCACTCCCACATGTCAAGGAAAACTTTCACAAGGAAAAATGTTTTATCTCGTTTTGGGCACATATTATTGTAAGATGGTCTAACATGTGGATCGTTATCTCAAAAGAACGGGAAGTTTTAATCTAAACGTTGCAAGTGGATAAATTGATTTTGGGCGTACAACCGATATAAACGACCACATTTACCATTATCTGTATATCCGGAGATACAGTTTCTGGCTCATACGGTCATGAATTCTTAAGATGGTAAATGGTAAAATGCTTAATTTTTAACTCGTCTGAATGAATACACGCAATGTTTGAATCAAAACCGTTGGCATCTAACGTTTGAAGCAAAACCTTATCAGTAAGTATGTGCATCATTGGAATAAGCAGATGCAGAGTTTGAAGGACTTTATGCAGCGTTTGAATGAGTACATGCAGCGTTTGAATGAGTATATCTAGCCGTTGAATCAGTATATCTAGCGCTTGAATGAGTATATGCACCGTTTCAATGAGTATAGGCAACGTTTGAATGAGTACATGCAGCGTTTGAATCGGTATATCTAGCGTTTGAATGAGTATATGCAACGTTTGAATAAGTACATGTAGCGTTTAAATGAGTACAAGCAGCGTTTGAATGGGTTTATGTAGCGTTTGAATGAGGATATAAAGCGTTTGAATGAGTATATGCAGCGTTTTAATGAGTTCATGCAGCGTTTTAATGAGTATATGCAGCGTTTTAATGAGTACATGCAGCGTTTTAATGAGTAAAACTAGCGTTTTAATGAACGCATGCAGCGTTTGAAAGTATATCTAGCGATTGAATGAGTATATCTAGCCTTTGAATTAGTACATGTAGCTTTTAAATGAGTATATCTAGCCTTTGAATTAGTACATGCAGCTTTTGAATGAGTATATCTAGCGTTTGAATGAGTATATGCAGCATTGAATGAGTATATGCAGCATTTGAGTGAGTACATGCAGCGTTTAATGAACACATGCAACGTTTTAATGAGTACATGCAGCGTTTTAATGAGTAAAACTAGCGTTTGAATGAACGCATGCGGCGTTTGAATGAGTATATCTAGCGATTGAATGAGTATGTCTAGCCTTTGAATTAGTACATGCAGCTTTTGAATGAGTATATCTAGCCTTTGAATTAGTCTATGAAGCTTTTGAATGAGTATATCTAGCGTTTGAATGAGTATATGCAGCATTGAATGAGTATATGCAGCATTTGAGTGAGTACATGCAGCGTTTAATGAGTACATGCAGCGTTTGAATGCGTATAACTAGCTTTTGAATGAGTATATGCAGCGTTTGAATGAGTATATGCAATGTTTGAATGAGTACAAGCAACGTTTGAATGAGTACATGGAGCGTTTGAATGAGTATATATATAACGTTTGTATGAGTATATGCAGCGTTTGAATGAGTACATATAGCGTTTGAATGAGTATATGCAGCATTTGAATGAGTACATCCAGCGTTTAATGAGTACATGCAGCGTTTTAATGAGTATATATATATATATATATATATCGTTTGTATGAGTATATACAGCGTTTGAATGAGTATATGCAGCGTTTAAATGAGTATATGCAGCATTTGAATGAGTACATGCAGCGTTTAATGAGTACATGCAGCGTTTGAATGAGTATAACTAACTTTTGAATGAGTATATGCAGCGTTTGAATGAGTATATGCAACGTTTGAATGAGTATATGCTGCGTTTGATTGAGTACAAGCTACGTTTGAATGAGTACATGCAGTGTTTGAATGAGTATATGCAGCGTTTGAATAAGTACAAGCAACGTTTGAATGAGGACATGCAGTGTTTGAATGAGTTTTTGTAGCGTTTGAATGAGTACAAGCAACGTCTGAATGAGTACATGCAGCGTTTGAATGAGTATATGCAAAGCCTGACGAATAGGTAATTAAGGCGTTTGAATCAAAACCTTATGAAAGCGCGTGCACATACTTGAACAATAGTGTAACATAGTTCAACCATTTTTTAGCGTTGGTAAAACATTTGGCCTTGTGCCAGTTTCCTTTGCACAAAATTCATTTTGCTTTGCCAATACAGAAAGGTGTATCTACACGTATCATCACACATAATGTTACTAATTTCTACTTTAATCGAATTTTAGCGGTGTTAACTCAAGACTAATGCTGTTTGTTTTGCAAGGATATTAAAGACACAATACAACTAATTTTAGCGTTATCAAAATATCTGTAATTTCGTGATTCTGAACGAACACAGAGGTGTAACTACTGTTATTACCAGACAAAAGTCAACTTTTAAAATTAAAAAATAATTCGAACTCAATAATTTACAGGACACGTTTACTAAATGAACATAAATAGTTATAAAATCACTAGATCCTATAGGCGACAAAGTCGGTATACTTGACAAGACCTACGCGTGTATGTAGAAGAAGAAAGGAGAAAGAAAAGCTATTTTATTTATGTGTCACACTTTGCAATTTACATAAAATAGTAGATGATATGAATATATTAATAAGTGCGAAAGCAGAACCCAGCATTACCAGACAAAGAAATAACTTAAAATACCATATATTGATAAAACTGATAAAAAAATAACATAAGGTATGTACACCAAATTCGACATATCACACTGAGAAAGTAATAAACAGTATAGTTATAAATGATACGCATGTACTCTAGAGTACATGTAGAGTGGCGGCTAGGGGTTGTGAAAATATGTTATTTATCATCAGGTACAAGAGGCTACATTGACATGTGGCTTCAAATTTTGTAATTTT